ACAATCTCACAGGCATAATGCTGAGTGAACACAGCCACAGCCACAAAGTGGAGACCGTGGTTCTGTACACCTGCACATTAGGGAGGCAAAACTAATCTTGCTGTGACTGTTTGCAATCTTGTTCTGGACATCGAGAGTTAGAATGTTTTTTTTTTTTTTTTTTTTTCCTTTTGGTACAGGGAATCGAACTCAGGTTGTACTTGCCAGGCAGGCACTTGTGCCACTGAGATGCATCCCTGGCTCTTGGTCTGGGTATTATAACACGTACACTTAAGATTTGAGACGTCCCTGTATCTGTGTCACTATGTATCTCAAAAGCAAAAGGCACGATCCTTCCTGGTCACATGCCAGTGCTGCAGGGGTGGGCATCGACGTGGCATCGCGTCCCCCCAGCTCCTGTGTCTGCCCGCTGCCTTCCTCACCATCTGCCTGATGCCCAGGGCGAGCCCCCAGCAGCTGTGCTGGCGGAGGAGACACCGTTGAGCCCAGCCACAAAGGACTGCGAAGGGAGTGACGTGGGACACAGGCCCTGTCCCGGAATGTAGACCTGCGTCCTGGGGCTGCCTCCAACCTGGTCCTCAAGGAGGAAGAAGGGGAGCCCTGGAAGAAAGTTCTGTGGGTGCTGTGGTAGCAGGTCGTGGCAGGAAGGAAGGTGGCTGCTTCAGTCAGACAGGAGCGCCTCACACACACACACACACACACACACACACACACACACACACACAATCTGCACAGCTGCCTGCAATCCTGCTCGCAGAGTCCCTGACACTCCCCTAGATTCCTACGACACCTCCTCCTTGCCTCCTTTGTGCCCTGTGGATGGGGAGGCACTCTTCTCCAAGCAGAGGGAGGTTTGGGGACCTCTCCATTCCCTTCTTGGCTGCCTTGAATGGAGTGGACAAGTCCCCACCTCTCTCCTCTGCGTCTCTTACAGGGACACTTGTCACTGGATTCAGGACACACCCAGGTTACCTTGTAGGATGTCCACTGAGAGATTCTATTTTTTTTTTTAATGTATTTAGTACGGGGTCTACAGGGTCTGACTACACAGATCGGACCCATAGAGATCCTCTTGTTTTCAGCTTTCCAAGCACTGGGATTACAGGTGCGCACCACCTCGCCCAGTCTCAGCTGCTGTCTCAGCATGCCCTGGGGGTGGGGCCGACATGGCAATGCAAGCTGGGATTGAACCCTGGTCCCTGCATCTGCTTAAGCAGGTGCTTTAATCCGCTAAACTATCTGGCCAACCCAGAGATTCTTAAGAGTTACATCTGCCAAGCACTTTTTTTCCCAAATAAGATAACATTCACAGGTTTTGGGGTTAGGATGTGGACCTTTTGGGTGCAGGTAGTTGCAGGGCTTGAAGTTCTGCCTTCCATAATGTTTTGCCCCCCCGAACTCCTGAGGCCACCCTGAGGGGCTGTCATGCCACAGAAGTCTGCAGTGTTCTCTCTAGAGCTGGCAGGAAAAGGGGAACCTGGCCTGTTTGGCTTCCACTGCTTAAGAAGATGCCCTCCCAGCATTTTCACTCAGTAAGGATCACCCCACAAAATCAGGGGGCTAAGATGCAGGTCAGACAAGGGCAAGGCTACACTATGCGACAGATGTCCACTGGACACAGGAGTCACCACTCCTGTCTTTTTTTATTCTAATTTTTTGGCAGGGGGTCTTAGTTACTTTTCTCTTGTTGCTTAGACAAAATGCCAGACTCCCAAAGCTAATGGAGGAATAGTTTATTCAGCTAGGGCCAGGGAGATAACTCAGCAGAATAAGTGCTTGCCTGGCAAGTGCAAGGCTCTGAGTTCAATCCCCGGCACTGCAAAAAAGGAAGAAAAAAAAAAAAAGCAGTTTATTCAGCTCACAGTAGGCAGAGTTCCAGTCCATGATTGCCTGGCTCCAAGGCAGGGTGGCTCGGCAGAGGGGAGCCGCAGAAGAGAAGCAGCTCATGGTGGTGCTAGAAGGCAGCAAAAGCAAGCAAGCAAGGGGGCTGAACAGCGCCCTCCTGCCCTGGTGTCTTATCCAGACTGCTGGGATCAGGGCCATGCCAAACCAATCAGTGAACTGCTTCGCTGTGGCATACCCTTAAGCCTGGGAGGATTGCTGAGAGGCCAAGGCCAGCCTGGGCTACAAAGTAAGTTCAAGGCCAGCCTGAGCTGCATAGGGAAACCCTATCTCAGGGGTAAAAAATCAAGTCATTTGAGCTCGTTGAGCTTGCCATTACCCAAAGCCATCAAACAGACAGCTCATTCATGTTCCTAATCCCATCATTTCTGTCTGATCCATCTACAGATGAGGCGGTTCAGCTCTCCAGAAGCTGATGCCCAGAGCACACCTTCCTGGCGCTCACAGCTAATCAGTGAGCTGTCTCTTTTCCATGCGCCAAGGCCTGTGGTTTCCCAGTGGCCTGTGGTTTCCCAGTGGCCTGTGGTTTCCCAGTGGCCTGTGGTTTCCCAGTTCCAAATGTGAAGTCTCAGGGCCTTTTTCCTAGGCTTGAGGCTACTGGCACTAGTTCTTTCTGGTACCAATACTTGGATCAACTGGGGCTCCTGGATGTCATTGGTCAGAACCCTAGGCTGGCTAATGAAAGTGAAATGAAGTGGAATGACCCTGGGTGTGAAGGAACTGAGCTGACACAGGAATCAGGGTGACTCTTCAAGAGTTCATGGGTTATTTCTTGGGGATGTTGCCAAGGCCAACTCAGCAGCGATGATTTCTCCCCCTGGTGTCAACCCACAAACAACTCAGGTCTCTCAGAAGATCTGATGGCATAGATTGGCACACCCATTCAGGCCTGTCCCCAGGGTCTGTGTGCCCCATGTGACTGGATGTCCCAACTGAACCTCAGGAGGCAGGAGAGGTGGGCAGGTCCCCTGGCTGGCCAAGGAAGGGTCTCCACAAGCTCCCAAGTATGGCCCAAGCCTGAGGACCAACCCAGCCCTGCCATGGGAACCTCATGTGCTGGAGATGCCAGGAGTCCCTCCATGACCTTCCCTTCCCTGCTGCAGGTGGCCGCAGACCCAAAGAAGATATCTGAGAGGAAGAGGAAACGTACAGGAAACAGTGCAAATGTATTCAAGGCAGAGTTGTTTGAACAGTGAAGTAGAAACTGCCAAAACACACTGAAGGGGAAATGATTAAATAATTACGGCTCCTGCATAACTCTGCACCATGACAAAGTATTAAAGTAATGTTTGAGGGAAAATATTAATGTTGCAATGCTAAGTAGAAAGTTTATATAAATTGTATACCCAGCTGTGTTAAGTAATTGTAGGAGGCAAATGTGCCAAGATGTTAACAGAAAGAAATATTACACCATCAGAACCACTTGGGGGGCGGGGGGATGGTACTGGAGATCAAACCCAGGCCTCCGTGCTGAGCTACATCCCCGTCCATATTTGTATATTTATTTTGTATTTTAATGTATTTGGTACAGGATCTCACTATGCAGCTTGGACTTATAGTGATCCTTCTGTTTCAGCCGCCCCAGCGCTGGGATTATAGGCGTGTGCCACCACACCCGGTTTCAGTGGCTGGCTCAGAGGGCCCAGGGTGGGGCTGGCACAGCATGCTGCACCAGGGAGCAAACCTGGGTTCTTGCACTCGCCAGACAGGCGCTTAGACCACTGAGCTATCTCCCTGGCCCTCCCCATCCCTTCTTACACTTTGCTTTGGTTTATTTTTGACTCAAAGTACCATTAAGCTGCTAACTTACCCAGGTTGTGCTCTAACTTGCGATCCTCCTGCCTCAGCCTCCAGAGTGCTGGGATCCCAGGCACTTCGCCACACCCAGCTGCGTTTCTGAATGCTTTCGTATGTGACATGTCAGGCTGAACATTGTACAGATATCCCTTAACCCTTTATTACCCCTAGTTTTGCTAGTGACCGGCTTGAGTTCAGGTCTCTCTACAGTGGAATCCAGTCTTAAGATCATCTTCTCTTTCCTTAGTTCCTATGTGGGCGCTAGGAAGGATTTTAATTCTTTTATGTTCACTTTCCTGAAATTTCTTAGTTTTCTACACTAGTCAGGCGGTTAGTGAGCGCCTAATGAATCAGGAGAGATACATGTTTTGAAAAAGGAAATATCTGCAACAACACTTTAAACAAGGGCAAGAAGGCGCTAGAATGAACTAAGTGCATGTGAAGGCGAGAAGGCTCGCGACGTGTTCTTAGCTGTGCTTCATTGTCATGTATCCGTCACCATGATAAATTGCACAAATGCACACCGCACACCTCCTGGGGAATGGGGCTCAGGGCCAGCCGTGGGGACCTCTCCACGCAGGCTGGCATGCCACACTGCCCAGCTTGGGGCCTGTGGTGGGCGAGCAGCTACGGTGGGCCAGGCGTCCAGCAGGCTGGCCAGTGTCTGTCTTTTGATCATGATCACTTCTGGGGCTCTTGCTGAGAAGACACCCTGCAACACGGACTTGGCACACATGCTCCTAGCACCTGAGTGAGCGACAGGGACCAGAAAGCACTCCTTGGAAGGGCTGGCTGGCCAGGGGGTGGGGGTGGGGGCCGAGGACGGGCCGGGTGAGATGCGGTCGGCGCTTCTCCTGCGGCCGGGGTCCTCAGGGCCAACCTCCTAGCTCTTGTCGCCTCGCTCGGGAGCGTGAGGACGGTCGCGGTCACGCGTGGCGGGGCCTGGCTGGCGGTCGGCGCGGCTGCTGGGCCGGGGCGCTGTCCGCGGTGCTGAACCGGCGCAGGGGCGGGCG